GTTGCCCTATACGCTGCGTTTTTCACGTCAGTAGCATTACGACACTCCTGATCGTACCATGGGTTTCTTGGTGGTGGTGGAAACAGACAAACATGGGGTCTAAAATCAATATTTCGATAGGGCAAATTTTTGCCGTAACAAAGTGTATATATCCTCATTAGCTATAATGCTGGGGGTATACAAATGATGAATATTGGTCCACTTTTTGAGGCTAGCCTCCAGCCATATAACAATACATCCAGAATTTCGATATGTTGGGTACATTTTTCAACCAAATCCGCTATAATGCAATATTCGCCCATGTGATATGTTTCGAGAGTTTTTGAATTCCCATACTTTTTTAAATTCCCATGTTGTGCAAAATGGTGTGCTCAATTTCGAGCGAAAGTGCGGCTCGAAAGCATAGCTGTGTTCAATATGTTACGAAATGTGTTCGATAAAAAAACATATGTTTCATTGGAATTTGCAATTTATTTAACAACAAAATTAAGAAAAAATATGCCTGCTGGCTTATTATTTGCCCTGGTTTCTACCAGATAAAGTCTAATAATACTGGAACGTGTTAATATAAGCATTTATGGATATTTTGAGAGAAGTTGGTCCTTTCATACACAAGGGTACCATTTCCGAAAGCCTGCAGTTAGCAGAAAAGATTTCTGGCTGTTGGTGGGTTTCAGAGGGTAGTGGCAAATGATTCAAATATAAATGTTGATCGCACAACAATGTGTAAAATATTGTGGAGAGTAATGAAAGTCCTGGAAGACAAAGTGTGTGCAAGCTGTGGACAGCTGCAGACCAGGATCCAGCCATGATGCTTTTATTTCACTTATGAGTGCAGCTAGGCAGCATTAACAAAAGAGGAAATGGTATGCAAAATAGTTGGCTTCTAGGAGACAGTGGTTACGCTTTAGAAACATTTTTGATGACGCCCTATAAACAAATGGAGCATGGATCTTGTCAACATCGATATAATAAAGGGCACACAACTGCAAGAAACTTTATTAAACGTATTATTGGAAATCTTAAAAGTAGATTTTTATAGATTCTTTTTTATTTTGATCATATGGTGGTTGAGTTTCCAGATTGATCTCAAAAATGTTACGCGCTGTTTTTGATAAAATGAGCCCTTTTTTATTTTCTTTAATTTTATTATAAAAACTAATGTAAATACTTTATTTTTTAAATAAATATTGTAAAAACACATTAAATATTACATCAGCGTTCTTTATCAAGGTGTACGTGCTCAGAAAAACATGTACGATCTCATTTCGTTTTCAATCCACAAGGCTATATGTGCTCGAATTATATTCCCAATATTTTTTTGGGAATTCGGAATGGAGCACACCAAATTTGGGAAAATGTTTCACATTCGAGAAAACTCGAAATGCAGCACATGGACGATTAGGTTGGGGAAAAAGAAATCCATTATTTTTATTTGAACTATAGGACTTGCTACGGAATGTCCGATTTGGATCAAATAGGCAACGTTTTGTTGTATGATTTCTTGCCATTTTAAAGGTAACTGCATAATACCTTTCTTATAGAAGTCCTGCTCCCTACTTGTAAAAAACTCTAGTAGTCGATTTTCACAATCCTCCCTAGATACCATTTTTTTGTTAAATAAATTAAATACATTTAGAAATGCAAGAAAAATATGATAATCGCTTGGTGCCAAGTCCGGACTGTATGGCGGATGCATTAAAACTTCCCAACCAATCTCCCGAAGCTTCTGGTGAGTCACTGTAGATGTATGTGGCATAGCGTTGACCTGGTGCAACACGACACTTCTCCTGTTGGCCGTTTCTGGTCAATTGCTATCTGTTGACTGTAGAGATCAGAATTTAGCATTTGGTCATATGGAAGAAACTCATAATAAATAATCCTCTTCCGGTCCCATCAAATGCATAGCAGAACCTTCCTGGCCTGGGTTTGGCCACCATTTGAGGTGCTTCACCGCTCTTTGACCACGATCGTTTTCGCACAGGGTTATCGTATGTTATCCATTTCTCATCTGCAGTCACCATCCGTTTAAGAAATGGGTCTAGACATTCCGTTTGACCAAGGCTTAGCAGATGGAAATTCGATCCATCCCATTTTTTCTGTTAATTGGCTTCTTTTTGAATCCAGCTTTGTGTAAATGGTTTAAAACAGTTTAATAGTCGATTTTTAGCTCCTGAACGATGTTATGACTTCTAACATGCTGGTCAACTTCGATTATTTCTCCGAATATATCGACGTTTTCGACGACCGGCCTAATTGATTTCTTTTTACCCAACCCAATATTACGATATGCATATTTGACATCAAATGGGAAATTCCACGCCAATGTTATTTGAATAACAAATTTTCAACATGATCTTCCCATTGTAGGGGAGATACCAGAAAAACTGAATCGATGGGTCCATCTTGGATTCGATCTAGGCTAGGTACAAATAAATCTGATGTGATATTTGGATATTCCGTTCACTTCATATATTATATAAAAATTTTGTAAATTGTGACCCTTTTTGGGCGAGCAACTAGAAGGAGTGGACCGATAAGTCACATCTTCAAACATTAGACATGTTTGCTATGTTCGCATGATATTATACCATAAATTTTCAGCAACATTTTTACCATCTTGTGTAGGAGGTTCCAGAAACAATGGTGGACCGTTTTTCTCCATCTTCTGAGTTACGATGTGCACAATTTGGATCATATCAGACATTCCATTCGCTTAATATTTTATCACCAATTTTTCAAAATGTTGACATTTTGTGAGGGTGATACCAAAAGGAGTGGACCTTTGGGTCCCATCTTCGAACTTGATCTAAGCTAGATAAAGGTAATAGGTTGCGCAAAGTTTGGTTCAAATCCGATTGTCCGTTCGCATAATATTATTGGATTTTTTAAATTGCCTGCAAATAACACAACACATCCTCGTACGTCAAATCGCACTGAGTACGTTTATGTTAAAAATATGTCCAAATTTCCAATGAACATGTCAAATGGCGCCATGCAACGTTAAATCCCTTATTGGGCATTGGATTTTTATACCCTCCACCATAGTATGGAGGGTATCGAAATAATCATTTCCGACCCTATAAAGTATATATATTCTTGATCAGCGTAAAATTCTATGACGATCTAAGCATGTCCGCATGTCCGTCTGTCTGTTGTAATCACTCTAGCGTCTAAACGAATTGAGATAGAACGCAAAAATTTTGCATAGAGTCGTCTTTTGTCTGCAGGCAGGTCAAGTTCGATGATGGGCTGTATCGGTCCACGTTTAGGCATAGCTCCCATATAAGGGTACCCCAAATTTTCAGTATTTCGGGGTTCTTGAGCGCGTTTTTCAACCGAATTCGCTGAAATTTGGTAAAATGGGTTCTTTTCGGATACCAAATGTCTCCACTAAAAATTATAAATATAGGTTCACTTTTTCTGGTAGCCCCCATAGAACGGTACCTCCTAATTTTCAGTTTTTGGGGGTTTTGACCGGATTTTTTTCACCGAATTGGCTGTAATTTAGTACTTTGAGTTCTTATTGGGTATCAAATCTCTCCACAAAAAATTATAAATATAGATCCATTTTTTCGGGTAGCCCTCATATAAGGGTACCCCCAATATTTGGTATTTTGGGGTTCTTGAGCGCGTTTTTCAACCGAATACGCTGAAATTTGGTACATTGAGTTCTTATTGGGTACTAAATGTCTCCACAAAAAATTTTAAATATAGGTCCATTTTTTCTGGTAGCCCCCATATAAGGATACCACCAATTTTCGTTAATTTAGGGTTCTTGGGGCGGTTTTTAACTGAATTCGCTGAAATTTGGTGCATGGGGTTCTTATTGGGTACCAAATTTCCCCACCAAAAATTATAAATACAGGTCCATTTTTTCTGGTAGCCCCCATATAAGGGTACCTCCCAATTTCCAGTTTTTAGGGGTTTTGACCGGATTTTTTCACCGAATTGCCTGTAATTTAGTAATTTGAGTTCTTATTGGATAGCAAATCTCTCCACCAAATATTATAAATATAGGTAAATTTTTTCGTGTAGCCCCCATATAAGGGTACCCCCAATTTTCGATATTTTGAGGTTCTTGAGGGCGTTTTTCAACCGAATTCGCTGAAATTTGGTATTTGGTAGTCGTATATGGTAACAAATCTCCCCGCCAAAAATTATTAATATTCACCCCTTTTTAGGGCTTGTCCCCATATAACCCCCTTTTTATATTAAAATAGTTATCTGATTTGTTCGGTGTGTTGCGGTTGGGTAGTCGTTAAGGGGAATAGTCAATTTTTACCCTACAAAGACTATTTAGCCATCTGTTGTAAACATTCCGCCTTTTTTATCACAATATAAAAACTCAAACATGACTATAATGAAATATATCGGCAGACATTTAGGCATCTCCTCAATATAGTGATACCTCCTGAAGGAAAGAATTGAGATAAGCAATTAAAATATTGAGTTCAAAATTTGCATATACCGGTCATTAATTAGGCATATCCCTCATATAATGATATCCCCAAATATTCACTATTTCCTACACTATGTAATCAATATTGATTCCCCTTTAGGCATACCCTCATATAACTTTGTAATCTAAATTACAGTAGTTTGAGGATTTTATACTCTACCATGCATTATCAGTATCAGTCCACTTTTTGGATCTTGCAGTAAGTAAAGGATTGATTTAAATGCGTTTTTAATCAAGAGTACCCAAAAACATAACACATGCTCGTACGTCAAATCTCACTGAGTACATTTATGCTAAAAATTTAAAACTTTCTATGTCAGATGGCGTCACGCAACAATGCTACAAATATATCTAGAAGAGCACATACAGTCAGATTTAAACAAGTTTTTATTCAACAGTACCCAAAAATCCCTCAAAATATGTGTGCTGAAGGGTTAAGTTCAAGGTATTTTGGATCCCTATAATCCCTACATTCCTTTTTTAAAATAATATTTTCCTTCCCATAATAATTGAATATATCTTTTATCCTTTTTTACAGATCGTGAAGATCAATCGATATTGTGTACCGGTGAATCAGGTGCTGGTAAAACCGAAAATACGAAAAAAGTTATTCAGTATTTAGCTTATGTGGCTGCCTCCAAACCCAAAGGTTCTGGTGCGGTAAGTATTCAATGGACCCAATTATCTTTGATAAATAATAAAATATTGTCTAGTTCAACTCAATTGTGCCTTATTTTCTCGAAATTTCTCAATATATTTAATTTTCTTTAATATTCCTCCACCTCGGCCAAAGGGCACCAACCACCACCTAAACGAGGTTTATTTGCAAAACAAAGAAAATCTATTAAAGGAATTCTCACGATATATATTTCGTTAAATTTTTTTTCAAAAATAGTTTTTGTGCTTTCCTTATATAGACACATTTTTTTCTTTCTCTAAATCGTGATTTGCTTTATTTGTTGTCGTTTTTCTTTCGATTTTTAACGATTTCACTAAATAAACGTTGAAAATATTTATTTAATTGCTTTATTTTCTTGGCGAGTTCATTAATGACAACAACAAAAAATATTAATAATAATAATAATTAAATATATTTTTCTTAATTGCAAAAATTTGTGGTTTGTTGTTCAAACGTTCGTTTCCATGTTCGTTCGTTGTTGTTGCTAAAGTTGGCGTTTGACAAAGTTTTAATTTTTTTTTTTTGTTTTTTTTTTTCCAACGACACCCACAATATTTTTTTTTCTTTTTTTGTAGAAGAAATATTTTTTTTTTAATTTGTTATTATGAATTGAAATTATTTATACCAAAAATTGTTGTACAAAAAGGAAATTTATCAAGTCGTCGGAATTACGTTTATTTGTGGGTATAATACGAGGGCTTCCATATATATATTTCAGACCCAATAATTAAAATGGAAATATTTATCGTCAAAAATGTTTTTATTGTATTAAAGTAGACCGATATTGATACTTTTTGGACTGAGAATTAATAATACTAAATTATAGCTAATTTGATTATATGGGGGCTATCCTGAAAATAAAACCAATATCGATAATATTTGCTAAGGTGATTTGTTATCCGACGAGAATTTAATATTATAAATTATTGCCAATTTGGTTGAAAAACTGGCTCCAACTCGCTCCACAAAGTGCTAAATTGCAGTCAATTCGCTTAAAAACCATGCTAAAAATTACCCAAATACAGAAAATTAGGGAGTACCGTTATATGATAGATCAAAACGTGGAACGATATAATATCCCATTTTAAATACCAAACATTCTAGATCTCGATTTCAACAGACGGACAGACATGCATGACAAATTTGAAATACACTCCACCTTATGGAGGAAGGTATAAAAATTCAAGCTTTTGCTTATATTCGGCCTATTCAGACAAATATTCCTGGCCCTGGAATGTATTAACAAGTACTCATTACTGGCTGGGTGGTACTTTTTATACTTCCACAATAAGTCCCGCATGGAAGGACTTAATATGGGGTAATGCAAAAAATGGAATGACAATTTTCATTTCATACCGAAAAGGGGACGAGACCCTTATCAGTACCTTTGTATACCCTCAGCCTTAATGCAAATGAGGGTATATATACTTTGCTAGGGCAAAAATGTGACTCATTGGTATTAGACCCCATGTTTCTTTGGATCAAATCGGTTTCAGACACGAATAATTTCAATATCAGGCGAATGGAATGTCCGATTTCAACCAAATTTTGGATCAAATCGGTTTCAGACACGAATAATTTCAATATCAGGCGAATGGAATGTCCGATTTCAACCAAATTTTGCACATATATATTATATTGGCCTTGTCTAGATCAGGTTCAAAGATGGGTACCATAGATCCAATCCTTCTGGCACTTCCCCCACAAAGTTCAATGTTCAATATTTATAAAGGCAATATCAAGTGAATGGAATGCCCGATTTAAACCAAACTTTGTTCAACCCATTATTTCTACGAAGTCTATATCAAGTCCAGAGATGGGACCCGTTGGTCCACTACTTCTGGTACCTCCCCCACAAATGGTTCAAAATTTCAGGATAATGGAATCATCGACTTGAACCAAACTTTGCACGACCTATTATCTTTACCAAACCTAGATCCAGTTTGAAGCTGAATGGTCAAAAACTTCAATATTTATAAATCCAATATGGCGAATGGATATTCCATTCCAATAGGCGAATGGAGTGCTCGATTTGAACCAAACATTGGTCAATCATTTAGCAATCAAGCCCAGAGAGTCAAAGTCCACAAATAGTCAAAATTTTTAATATTTATAAATCCAATATCAGGTGATGGGAATGTCTGATTTGAACCAACATTTACACAAACCTATTATATTTAACAAGAGTAGATCAAGCACGAAAATGGGAATCGCCGGTCTTCTCCTGCATAAAATTGTAAATTTAATTTGAAGCGAATTGAATAACCGATTTGATAAACATAAATTTGAAACCTCTTTGATAAACACATATTCTTCCTACGAATAATCTAACATGTGTGTAATTCAAAAAAAAAAAAAAAAAAAAACTCCACAAACCATAGGCTGAGGGTATATATCTGACCGACTGACAACTTTTTTACTTGTTTAGGACAATTTTAACGAACAATTGTTTGTTTACCCGCCAAGAACTCGGAATGCCAATTACAGCCATGTTGATTGGATTATGTATGTGCCCAGAACCTTGAAAATACCTAAAATAGTCGTCTCAATGGTTTTTATATGGGGCCCATTTAAAAACATGAACCTCTATTGACAATATTCTGCCAACAAGGCTTTAGGCGATTCTCATTGCAACTTTTCCTTTAATATTTCAAGGCGAAAGTATTGCCGTAAAACCTATGTAGGTCTGTCCTGCACTCCCATAATTTTTTGTATTGTGGCGGGGCCTATTTTAAAACATGGACCTCTATTGACAATGTTCTGCTAATAAGGCATTAAGCGATTCTCATTGTAATTTTTCCTTTAATATTTCAAGGCGAAAGTATTGCCGTAAAACCTATGTAGGTCTGTCCTGCACTTCTATAATTTTTTGTATTGTGACGGAAACCCCTCTGACGGCTTTTTCTTTTAACAAATTCCGACCTCTTCAATTCTATATCTCTCACACTTCAAAATGTCCTCTTTAAATGAATTTTCACCTTCGATTATTTGAAAACATCTTGACGAAACGCAAACAAAAGCACAAAAAAAATAATTAAATTGTTAACGATGTTATTTTCATTTCATCAGGCACGTCAACATTCATAAATTGATGAAGAGTGCTGATTGAAAAAACAACAACATGGTGTTCATGTTGTTAATTTTTTCTTCTTCTTCTCAATTAAGCGTTTAATTACTCGAACAGAGAAGGAGAATAAATGGCTAGCTGGTTGGCTGTAACATATTTGGTCAGTTTTTTGCAATGATTTTTTTTCAATTTGCGCTCACAATTCTGTTCTAAGAAATTCTAAGATGTATGTTTGTGTTCAATTGACCATTCAAGTTCACACGTTTTGAAAAATTGAAAATTAAAACAAAAATAAAAAAAACAGAAATTACAAAACAAGTTCATTGCTAACTTATTTTACAGCACACAAATAACAGCAACAACAAAAATCTTAAAATGCCATAAGACGACGCATGCGTGCGTTCACGTCAAATGCCAATAAATTGAACAATTTGACAGCTAAAAATGTGAATATGTTGTGCCACACACACAGACACCCCAACAACTGCTTCTAACCACCAAAGAAGTTTTTTTTTTTACCAAATTCGATGGTTATTTTTGCACAAAAATTATTAACCAAAAAAATCATTTTTTTTGACAAAACTTGACAATGAATAAATAAATAAAACATTGTTGCTCGTTTGTTGTGAACAAATCATTTTTAGTTTTCCCATATCTATTTGGTTGGCTGGCTGAGTTTAGTTCCACCATGTTGTGACCCACTAACCACAAGTTGTGGACCAATCGCGACCGTACTGGTCGATCAACAAGTTTCCTTATTTGACAAGGTCCTAGTTTTGTGTTTATTTGTTGTTGTTGTTGTTTTCGTTGCTACTTTTTTGTTTGTTTACCTCAATTAGCCACAAAAATTGCTAATAAAGTTGCAAGCTTTTAATAATTGTTCTCCTCAATTTAATAATCGATTATGGCAATGTTTAGTTTAAATTTTTTCTATTTTTTTTTCCAATTTTTGTCAGGCCTAAATATTTTTAGCCGTTTTTATGAAATGTTTTGGAATTGTTGTTCTCTCATTTATGGTTATTATTAATTATGTTTCACGGTTTCTATTTCGCTTTTGGAAGGTGAGAATATCTATTAATCAATACCATAATGGAGATCATTAAAAAGCATAACATGGACCGATATAACCTCAAATTCAGGCCCCCAAAAAAAGCTACATTGCAAAATCGATACTTATAGTATCCAGGTCCCGGAAATATGGAAAATATTTTTAATAAAAAATCCCCAACTTGGGTAGACTGTCAAATATTTGTTTAAATTAGTTATTTTAGCCACGTCGAATTTGTTATCTCCTTCACCAGGTGGCGAGCATTCAAAATGCCTAAAATCGATTGGGAACTTGAAATAGAACTATATCAAATAGGACTAATGCCAATATTAGGGCATTCCAAATTTTCTTTAGAAAAATCTACGCTTATAGATTGGGCAGACCCTTAAGGGAACCCCAACCATTCTCGATTTTAATTTTTCAAGATTTTCAATGGGCTGGTAAATCAATACCAATGCTTGTTAAGGTTTGTAACTTTGCACATATATAATTGAAGATTTAAAAGAGAAGAAAAATAATTTACAAAAAAATTTTGTTGTTGTTTTGTTGTTGTTTTTTGTGATCAAAGAAAAGTCCTTATTTTTGATGGCGGGCATGATAACTCCTCAATGGAACATCGGAATCCGGAAATTCCAACGGTGTTAGAAAGAGTACATGTCTGGCTCTCGTATGAACTAGGATTATTGACTTCGCTCTAAAATTAACAAAATGGTGGACCTTTGAAAAAATATTTTTGGAAAATCGCCGATTTTTTACCAAAAACCAAGTTAAAAAATAAGGAAGATCTTCACCGATTGGCTTTATCCTAGTTCATACGATAGCTATACACTCACAGAGAAACGTGTAAAAATTTGAAATCGATAGGA